GCTGAAATCTCACAGGGTCACATAACAAAGAGGAGGCTTCATTCGCGTTCCCAGGCTAGATCAGAGTGCCACCACACAACCTACAACACATTATTAGCCTCGTCTTAGAAGATGCCCAGGAGGAGACTCAAACAGCTGGACAAGTCAAGGTTGAGGCATGTTCCCGCAGTTATGAGAGGCAGTTTACACCATAATGGGATATAATAGCCCTTCAAAGATGGCTCACTGCAACCGAAGTTACCCTTTGGGCAAAGAGGGGTGGCCAGTCCACCAAGTTTCAGGCAGAAGCAAGTCCTACACCTTTCCTGGCCAGCCCAGGACAAAGTTTCCCCAATGAAATGGGCAGCGTTGTCGAGACAGTTCCTCAAAAGCTTCGTCTTCAGTTGACACAACTTGAGCTCATTGGGTCAGAAGTACTCACTCACTTATCTTTCATTCTCTCTCTCTCCCACCCCCATTTATAACCCTCTTTCTCTCCTTATGCTAGACTATTCTATCCCATGTGCTCGCAAAAATTGGCTGATGACCTCATGATACCCTTGCTACCTGCTACCCACACAACATGATACCTGCATGAAATGTATTTGTAAGCATTTGCCAATGCCGTGATCCCATTGTGGTAGCCCTAAAGTCAACTGGATCCTTTTAAGTGATAAATATTGATTGAATCGCGTGCTAGATTTCCTTGTGATCTTTTATATTAATAACATGTGTATAATAATAATAATAATAATGTACATATGCAGCATACTCTCCAAAATTCCTCAGATGAATATAGGGACATTTCTCACTCCCCCCCCAATAACCCTCCTTGACCCCCCCCCATTTTTATCCCCTGCCCCACAGAGCATTTCCTGTCTGAAGGAGGATGAGTGGTATCACCACTACACCAACAGGACACAGGCCCACCACCATCTTGATTAAATCCCTAAATCCCAATTTTATTTAATTTTATTCTTTGGTAGATTTGCAAAAAGGAAAACATACACCAATAAATAAATTTTAGAAAGGGTCAAAATTAGATGTGGACACACAAAGCATTTTTAAAAATAAAAAAATCCAGACTTCTTGTGCTCTGCTGTCCCTTTCTTTTCTTTTTTTTATAAAATTTTTATTCTAGTTTGAAAAGTTTTTTATAACAACAAAACAAAACAATACAATAAAACTAACAAACAAAAAATATAAAAAACAAGTATAATTTCAACCCTTATTTTCTTATAACTTACTTCCCCGACTTCCTCATACCTCCCCTTTCTGTATTCCAATTTCTAATTTATTATTCAGCAAATCCTTCCCTTATTTTTCACTTAATTTTGACCTTTCTTTCTTTAACTTATCCATTACCGCTAATAACCACATATTTTCTAATCCAACGTCATTCTAACAGTCATTAATTTTACAATATTTCTTTAGATAGTCCTTAAATTTTTCCCAGTCTTCTTCCGCTGTTTCTCTTCCCTGGTTTCGGATTCTGCTCATCATCTCTGCCAATCCCATATAGTCTATCACCTTCATCTGCCATTCTTCCAAGGTGGGTAGGTCTTGTGTCTTCCAATACTTTGCGATGAGTATTCTTGCTGCTGTTGTAGCGTACATAAAAAATGTTCTGTCCTTCTTTGGCACCACTTGGCCGACCATACCCAAGAGAAAGGCCTCTGGTTTCTCTGCTATCCCTTTCTTACTGCCTAGGGTGGTCCTGCCCTCTGACTGCCCCTCAGAGCCAGAACATCAAGCAAGGCTGTGTCTTGGTGGTGACAACCTCTCCTCTTCCTCACCTGCTCTCCACCAGCTACTACAGACTGCCCAAAGGAGGAGGTTATAAACAAACAAACAAACAAACAAAATGTGTTGCAAAACAGAACAATCTGAACAACATCAAGCAACATGTAGGCTAATAATATATTGACAATATTTATATAACACTATCAAACTGATTTAAAATTCATAAACAGAAGACATGTAATATGTGCTATTATCTATTAGTCACAAACTAATAGATCCAGTGCCATGGGCCTTCTGGAGGTTCCCTCATTGCGAGAAGTGAGGTTACAGGGAACCAGACAGAGGGCCTTCTCGGTAGTGGCGCCCGCCCTCCCATCAGATGTCAAGGAAATAAGCAGCTATCCTATTGTTAAAAGACACCTGAAGGCAGCCCTGTTTAGGGAAGTTTTTAATATTTAATGCTGTATTATTTTTAACACTCGATTGGGAGCCACCAGATGGGTGGAATATAAATAAATTATTATTATTTTTATTCCATAAGCAGAATGATTAGAATGGTATGTCACTATAAAGAATCCCTGAAATTGAGGCTGAATGCCTTTCCACAGTAAATATCTTATCCAAAATGTTGTCGAGAATGAGCTGAAGCACAGTGGAGCTAAAAGAACAGCCAGGGGCAGAGGAGGGGGTGCGGTGGGTGTGGACCGCCCCAGGTGTCACCACTGAGGGGGTGACAAAATGCCAGGCAGCACTCACTGTGGGGTCTGCAGTGCGCCTGAGCCACACGTCATTCCTGGGAGAGACGCGGTGACTTAGGCGTGTGCAGGCTCCGCGCTGCCCAAATGATCCACCCACTGCCCACCCCACAGCTGTAGGGCGGCTGAGTAGGAGGAAGCAGGCAGACTCTGGAGGCCCCACGGTGCGCCTATGGGGGGCTCGTCCTGCCCCTGGCACCCGAGCTGCTTCCTCTGCTGCTGAGAACAGCAACACAGAAGTAAGGTGGTAGGTGCTCCAAACGGTACAAAAGGGTGTTCCGAGCACAGCAGCAGAGAGAACAGTTCTTCTGGGATAATGAACTGTTTCAATGCTAATTCTTCATCAGCTGGAAAGAATATAAAATTCAGTCCATTGCATTCAAATACAATACAGAGGTTGAAATGACAGGCCTGCATACAAATAACCAATGATAAATACATACCAAATTAATTGCCCCAAAGGTACATCAAATAGTCAAGGGAGGAGGTTGGCAATGCAGGCAACAGGATTCGCCCCCGTAGCTGCCGCTCAGGACAAGCACCAGCACATCCTCCTCCCCAAGCTCGGAGGGGGAAATAGGGACATTCCTGGATCAAATCAGAAGCTGGGGTGGCTTGTGTAATTCTGGGACTGTCCTTGGAAAATAGGGACACTTGGAGGGTATGTGTGCAGCAATACATGCATGTGGAAGGGGGCAGTTAAGTCAGAAGTCGGAGAATTCTGCCCATGCAGGAGGAAGGATGGATATGGCAAGGAAATAAATGACCCATCACATTTTTGTTATACTTTCTCAATTGTAAGCATAATTATAATGTAATGCCTTCATGTTGAATGTGTTATTCATTGCTTTATATTTAATCATTGCAAGCTTCTGTTGAGTGCTGCATAGCAGACAGGCAGCCTTTAAAAAAAAAAAAGGATCAAAATCAGTGAATGAATCAGGAAATCCAGTATACAGGTCGTATCTGTCCTTTGCTGTGAACTCTTTTTTAAAATAAATCTTTTATTAGTTTTTCAACATATCATTTTCAACAATAATTAAACGTACTTTTACATCTTATACAGTTTTTTTGACTTCCATCAATCACATCTGTAAATTTTCCAATTTATTCACAATTTACATTTCTTATTTTAACTATTACTTTTAAATCTCATAACTAGTATCTCTCTTCTTTCTCTTCTTTACAATATTTCATATATTTCTCCCTACAAAACTTCTTGTAGTCCTACTAGCGTAATTTGTTGATTACAGCTGCTCTTCAAATAATTCATATATTTCTTCCAATCTTCTGTAAATCTCTGGTCCCGCAGGTTTCAAATCCTTCCTGTCATTTTATCCAATTCTGCGTAGTCCATTAATTTTGTCTGCCATTCTTCTTTCTTCAGGCTGTGAACTCAGTAAGGTGCTTTAGGCAAGCCATTCTCTCTTGATTTCCAATGCTGGTCGGTGACATGGGGAAATAACACTGACCTACCCTATAGGGATGTTATAAGGATTAATACAAGATAATACATGTGACATACTTTTGAATGTGTAGCATTGTTTTGCTTTGTATTATTTTATTGCGAAAAATCTCAGTTCATTATGAATTAATATAAGCAACAATCCTGACTTGTCAACAGCCTACACAAAAAAAGAAAAAAGGGGGGAAGGTGTAAACTACTGTTAAACCTTTCCCCTGCTTGGGACTTGACTACAACTCCCATCATTCCTGATCATTGGCCATCCTGGCTGAGCCTGATGAGAGATGGAAGTCCCCATAAGATTTGGAGGTCACCTGACCATGTAAGGCTTTTCTGGTCCACATGTTCAGTTCAGACATCAGTTGTGAAGAAAATGGAAGAACCAATATTTAGGTACATCCCTGAACTTCAGGAAAACCAGAGCTTTTTTTTCAGCCGGAACTCGACAGAACTCAGTTCCGGCACCTCTCGAGTGGGTGCCATTGCTATTAAAAGAGAACAAGGGAGTAAATGATTTATACTTGTTCTAAATAATGTTTATTAAACATTATGTTAGTTTTCTCTAGTATAATCCAATCTTTTACCCATATTATGCCTAGAATAAAAATGTACAGTATATGTATGCTTTGGAAAAGAGAAAAGATAAAAGAAATACAAAGAATGATACATTTGGAGAATGCAAAGATAAAGGTGGAAATAGAGATTCAAAGAAGTTGAATTGTGACGGAGGGAAGCTGCGGGTGCAGGGGGAGAGTATTATATGATAAATATGTAATATTTGCTTTCAATGTTTTTGGGTTGTTTTCAATCTTTTTTGTCTTTGTTGTTTTGTTTTTGTTTTTCTGTACTACTTACTTAAACTAAATAAATATATAAAATTGGGGGGGTAAATAAAAGGGAACAAAGGAAAACTGGGTGTATGTGCTTGGGAAAACAGGTTCATAAGCTTTGTTGCAGTTGTTTTAACTGAAAATGAATGGGATTTGCCTTAGCGTGAGACTCTCCTTAAACTAAGCTAACTCTCTTGTTTTCTTCTCTCTTCCCCTCTGTCTTGGCAGGCCTGTGACGGAGGATTAGACAACATCAGTGGAGTCATGCTTCACACAGCCATATCATGCTGGCAGCCATTTCTAGGTCTGGCTGTGTTGCTAATTTTCATGGGCTCCACCATAGGCTGCCCGGCCCGCTGTGAGTGCTCAGCACAGAACAAGTCTGTCAGCTGTCACCGGAGGCGCCTGATTGCCATCCCCGAGGGCATCCCCATTGAGACGAAAATCCTGGATCTTAGCAAGAACAGGCTGAAAAGTGTCAACCCGGAGGAGTTCACAGCTTTCCCTCTGCTGGAGGAGATAGATCTCAGCGACAACATCGTTGCCAACGTCGAGCCTGGAGCCTTTAACAATCTGTTTAACTTGCGCTCCTTGCGGCTGAAAGGGAACCGTCTGAAGCTGGTCCCTTTAGGGGTCTTCACCGGCCTGTCAAACTTAACAAAGCTAGATATCAGTGAGAACAAGATTGTCATTCTGCTGGACTACATGTTCCAGGATCTGCACAACCTCAAGTCCCTCGAGGTTGGGGATAACGATCTGGTTTATATCTCTCACAGGGCCTTCAGCGGACTGCTCAGTTTGGAGCAGCTAACTCTGGAAAAATGCAACCTAACAGCTGTACCAACAGAAGCCCTTTCTCACCTTCACAACCTCATCAGCCTACACCTGAGACATCTCAATATTAACCTTCTGCCTGCATATGCCTTCAAGAGATTGTTCCACCTGAAAAATCTAGAAATAGACTATTGGCCTATGCTGGACATGATCCCTATCAACAGCCTGTATGGCTTGAACCTCACCTCCCTCTCCATCACCAATACCAACCTGTCCACTGTCCCTTATTCTGCCCTGAAGCACCTAGTTTACTTGACCCACCTGAATCTCTCCTACAACCCCATCAGCACCATTGAGTCGGACATGCTTGCCGATGTGGTGCGCCTCCAAGAGCTCCACATAGTTGGGGCCCAGTTGCGTACCATCGAACCCCACGCATTCCAAGGACTCCGGTTCCTCCGGGTGCTTAATGTGTCCCAAAACCTGTTGGAAACCATCGAAGAGAACGTGTTCCACTCCACCAAAGCCCTGGAAATCCTCTGCATAAGCAACAACCCACTGGCTTGCGACTGCCGCTTGCTTTGGATTTTACAAAGGCAGCCCACACTGCAGTTTGGGGGCCAGCAGCCAATGTGCGCCGGCCCGGACAGCGTCAAAGAGAGGCCCTTCAAAGACTTCCACAGCACCGCCCTTTCTTTCTACTTCACCTGCAAGAAGCCGAGGATACGCGACAAGAAGCTGCAATACCTGGTGATCGAGGAAGGCCAAACGGTGCAGCTACAGTGCAGTGCAGATGGCGACCCTCAGCCCACCGTCGCCTGGCTGACGCCGCGACGGAGACTGGTCACCGCCAAATCGAATGGGAGAGCTACGGTGCTGGGAGATGGCACCCTGGAGATCCGGTTTGCCCAAGATCAAGACAGTGGGATCTATGTTTGTGTGGCCAGCAACGCTGCTGGGAACGACACCTTGTCAGCCACCCTAACCGTCAAAGGGTTTGCCTCGGATCGTTTCCTTTATGCCAACAGGACTCCTATGTACATGACAGATTCCAATGACACCAGTTCCAATGGAACCAATATGAATACATTTTCCCTGGACCTTAAGACAATACTGGTGTCGACAGCCATGGGCTGCTTCACATTCCTCGGGGTGGTTTTATTTTGTTTCTTACTACTTTTTGTGTGGAGCCGAGGGAAAGGCAAGCATAAAACCAACATTGACCTCGAGTACGTCCCCCGTAAGAACAATGGCGCGGTTGTGGAAGGGGAGGTCCCGGGACCACGCAGGTTCAATATGAAAATGATTTGATGGTGGTGTGCTGCTAGAATTATTAATTCTTCCCCTGCCCCCCTCTCCTGTGGCATTCTGACCAATCCAACAAGCTTGGTATCTAGGAATTGCCATGCTAGAGGCTCTTGGCCGTCGCGGTGTCAAACGGTACATGGAAACCAGGAAGACTATCTGAGGTTGTACAGCAAAGCCTCTTGTTTTGAGGCTGCGTGTGTGTGTGTTAGGGCTTTTTTGCAGAGTTGGCATACAGTACTAATTGTTTGCATTGCAAATTTTTTGCCATTCTGAGGATCTCAGTAACAAACTGTCGGCTCATGTTCACGGACAAGTGTTCAAAACATTTTCTACCACTACAAAAATAAAAAAATTAAGGGAAAAAAACCCTACAGTGTAGGATTTACATATTTAAAGAGAGAGAGAGAGACATTTGTCTACAACATAACTCTGCAGTGAAATTTGTATCTATAGATCTCATTTGCTAAATCCTCGCATCATACATACCTTCTAGTTGATTCGACACCACAAGATTAATGTATTACTGTATTTTTTTTAATATACATATTTAACTGTGTACATTTTAAAGCAATACAAATGAGACGTTTTTGTTCCTTCCACAGTAACTGACCCAAGTGTGATGTCACTTGTTCCATAACTACAGCCAAATTCCCAAATCAGACCTCTGTAGTCACCAATGAAAGATGCTGTGGCTTGTGCCTAACGTTACATCAAAGACCAGAGAGAAACTGTCGAGGCAGGCAGAATTTACTGTGTCCCCCTTGCTCTTCTCTTTATGGAAAGAAAGGCATGTGCCTACTTTTGATATAGAATAGAATATTTTCTTAAAGTATCTGTGAGATCACGTTGGACCCGTTTACTGTAAGAGTCCAAGGTCCAACTTCCTAGTCATGGTTGGCACCAACACTGGCAAATTAACTGGATGACCGTTCTTTCCCCCACTCACCCCTCTGTTTTAATTTCTTTTCCATTGTTAAGATGTCAGTGTGCTGGGATAAAGAACCAGGTTAATGCATTCTGCCATATTTCCAGTGAAGTGCCATCAGAGTTTTATTAATGGATGAGAATGCCGCTCAACAAAAGCCCTTCCCCACTCAATAGCTTCCACAAGGCCAAATTACTGCCAAACTTCAAGCCACTGTCCATTTTGTATTTACAAGAAACACTGGGCTGGTCTATACAGTCCTTTGCTGCTGTTTTTTTTAAAATTATTATTATTCTCACAGAAATGACCCCTGGCAGCCTGATCGTGTGAAGAACAAAACCCTAGAGGCACCATTTCAGACTCCAGGATGGTGTAAGAGCAAAGAGCTTGCTTGCAAAAGATATGTCATACATTAAATATAAGAAAACCCAGTGTATTTTAAGAGCATTTCTTGTGTGTTTTTTAATACCTCACAATAATTTGTATGCCAGTTACACAACACAAGACGAAAAATGCACATAATGTGGAAAGGTGGTTGTGGTTTTGGCATACATTTTAATCGATTATATAAGCAGTAAGATGGCTCCAGTGAGATACAGGTGCTCCCGAGAATCATCGGATCTGAAAATGGCTGCCATCTACGAAGAAAAGCCCTGGTGGAAAAGTATAAATTGGGAACTGGTGGTAGGCAAAGTTATACTATGCCGGGAGTTCTGTGACTATAATGCTTTGAAAAAGAACTCCCCGCATCTTGAAGACTGCTGTGAAACAGACACACCTGTCACAGCTTCACGGCACTCTCTTCTCCCAATTGCATCACTGAGGTCAAGTGTACAAGTAAAACAGCAGGGCAAATATTACTGTGTGAACTGGCTGTCCTAAAGGTAAAAGCAAAAATCCATGAATGTCTATCACTCGGTTCTTCTTTATAATTTCATGATTGCTTTAACTGTTCCTTGTTGCCATTTTTGTACTTTGGTTGTCTTGCCTTTACCCATGATGAGAGTGAATGCATTGTGGGGCAAGAGAGGACTGCAGACTGGGAATAGTTACGTGTGTGGTAAAATTGCTAGTGCTGTTGTTGTTTCTCCTCTCAAGATCTTGCAAAAGGGGCCATGGGAGTTGGACTACTATTGCAATGTGATATGATGCTGGTGGAGGGACGCGGGTGGCGCTGTGGGTAAAAGCCTCAGCGCCTAGGGCTTGCCGATTGAAAGGTCGGCGGTTCGAATCCCCACGGCGGGGTGCGCTCCCGTTGCTCGGTCCCAGCGCCTGCCAACCTAGCAGTTCGAAAGCACCCCCGGGTGCAAGTAGATAAATAGGGACCGCTTACTGGCGGGAAGGTAAACGGCGTTCCGTGTGCTGCGCTGGCTCGCCAGATGCAGCTTTGTCACGCTGGCCACGTGACCCGGAAGTGTCTGCGGACAGCGCTGGCCCCCGGCCTCTTGGGTGAGATGGGCGCACAACCCTAGAGTCTGTCAAGAGTGGCCCGTACGGGCAGGGGTACCTTTACCTTTTTTTTTTATGATGCTGGTATGACCAACTGAGGCGGTGGAGAATCTAATTCTTGTTGACCATCCCAACTTTCTAGTAGAGAAGTGGAGGATATCTAGCCCTTTCGATGTTGCTGGACTACAGCTGCAAGTTGTGTAAGTTGGAGTCCAACAGGATCAGGAAGTTACAGAAAAGATTTAGCAATTCCATGAAACACATCTATAGAATAACAATATCCTCCCCCCAAATCTGATCTCTCAGTGAATGTAAGGAGCCTAACAAGTCATATTGCCTACAATTGAGATTTCAAGGCAGTTTTAAAGTATTTAAGGGATCAACCACACACACAACACACAACACACACACATTCTAAATCCATGGGATTTTGAAGGCAATAATATAGGTTGTGTCATTTCATTTACAGCTTTGTATTCAAATCAAGGTAGGGGCATTTATATAAATTTTCTCAACATCAGTAGATGGTATGTTCAACCCCATCATTTAGTATCAAACCAGCATATATACCTATATTACACTTTGTACAGTTGTATCTGCAAAATTCTTTTTACATCCCATCCTAGTATATTCATGATGATGCAGCATGTTCTTACGTTATGGCGTGGTGGTGTTGTCATCCATCTATATCCCCACCCCACTGATAACGCAACATTAGAGCATTAACATAACAGAGGAAAGGGCCAGGGGTGGGCAACTTTAATGTGGGAATCAATCATGCTATTGGCCCTTCCCACATAGTCTTAGAGTATGAGAGCACCATGGGAAACAGCCATGAGGGAACAGTAACAATTCTACTTGTATAATGTAAGAACGAGCCATTAGGCCCAATTCACACATAAGAGCAGCTTGACAGCTGCTTATCCGAAACTTCTCCCCACACTTCTCAGGGATCATTTAGATAATAGCACTACAGCTGCTTCTTCCACAGCTGATCACCCAGCAAAGAAGGAGAACAGCCAGGAAGGAAAGAGCTGTCTAATTGGCCCCACCTAGAAGGTGCCTGTATCCAGAAGTTCTTGGAGCAGGGTAGGAAGATGTCATGGAGAAAATTCCGCCCGCACCCTTGTTGAGTTAGTGTGAATTGCCCTTAAGAGTGGCTCTCGATGCTACAAAATTGGGAGAGGGTTGACAGGATGCACACACAATTCACATTTCTTATTTCTATGTTTCCTCTCAAAACATCAAACTGGAATTTGAACCTCTGAGCTCCAGAGGCAGAGACAGCTCATGTATTTCACTGCAAGGGGAGGTACAGGACGAGGGAAGCGTGATATATTGTGCTTCCTCTCCTGCTCCTCCATGACATGGCTTCCAGGATTGGCCACCAGTCTTTTAGGTCCTGACTTTTCAGTGAGTCCCCACAGTGAAGCAAATATCTGATGGAATGGATGCATCGTGGCGACAGGTCTCTTTCAAGGTCTTGTTGGATTCTGTGTTTGCTGCTTACATTACAAATATATGTGACACCAGAGAGAAAGTAGAGGACTCCAGAGGTTGCCTTTGTGAGCAATGGTTTTGTTTTCCCCCCTCCCCAGAGACCTTTGATGCCCTTCTATGCTTTTAAGACATTGTGGAATTTTAATAATGCTAAATGACTCTGAAATAAACATGCTGACAAATGAGAGATGAATTTCAAGACTAACCTGGCAGGGTTTCTGTATTGTACGTTCATATAGATAACTGATATAAGCAAGACAAAAGGAAAAGATAGCTGAATAGCTATCTGGAGATATTTCATTTACTTCTCCCTTGTAATTATCATTAGCCACTAATGACCCTGTTCTCTCTCTTTTTAGTGACATGCCTTTACTGACTACAAACAATAAAGTTATTTTTTTTTCTTAAATTGAGTAAGGCAAACTTACTCAAATCCAAATGGAATATCTATTTTCTCTACTTTTAAATTGCATTGAAAAGAGGGAGAAAGAAACAATAGGATGAAAGAGAAGCTGTGTCAGTAAAAAAAACAAAACCACACGCATAATTGTTGAACCACACAAGATAATGCCTACATGAAATGAGAAATATGTTTTTCTGCTGTGAGGATACTCAGTTTTTGTTGCAGCTTAAAATGAAATGTCATCAATAGGGTGGCAAAAGCTATGGTGCATAGTGATGATTGGAAAACCAACCAGTAGTACATCTCATAGAAAACACCTTATGATACTTATTGCTTTCTTATTCTCCATAGCTAATATTTTATTCCTTGCCTGTTCCAATTTTGTTTCTGTAATCTTCTTGCACATTGTTATTCTCTGTTTGGACTTTGCTCAGGAATCTAATCTTATATTCTATGTTTTTCACTGATACGTCCAGAGTTCCATGTAGTTATACAGCAACACAGGTAAGCCTATCCAAAAATTTCGCAAGCATAAGGTACATCCTTGTGGCCTGGTTATGCGTTTGGACCTCCTGAAATGCAATGGGTGGTTGTGTCTGCTTTGTGTTGGGTGTGTTTTCTTTCAAGCAGGAGATTATCACTATGAATTGGCTTGCTGGTCTGGTGTTTGATAGTGTAGTAGTTCAATGAAGGCTTTTAATTTTAGTGGGAAATATCTGATAGGAAATACAGAGGAACAAGAGCATAAGGGAAGAATACCTTCAGGTAGTGCCATCTCAGTTAGGTGTTCTTGGTAGTAATTAAGTACTAAAGCTGCAATCTTTTAAATCAGCTTTCCCCAACTTAGTGTCCTCCATAAATTTTGGATTGTATCTTCCATGATCCCTAACCATTGGGCCATGCTGGCTGAGACTGGCTGGGAGTTGTAGTCCAAAACATCTCAAGGGACTCAGATCAGGGAAGGCTGCCCTATATACATACTTGGGAATCAGCCCCATTAAGTTCAATGAAACTTATTTCTGAGTAACCATGCATATATTATATTTCATATAATTTGGGCAGGGAAAGGGAGTAAGATAGGAGAGAAGCAAAAGTCTCTAATCGGCCCATCTTCTGTAAGAAATGTGACATTAAACGTGTCTGCATTTTGACAGACTCCCTTGCACTCAGATCTCAGAGGCTTAAAAAGGAAACGGGAGGAATCTTATAATGCTGTTTCCAAGTCTCCCTGTGCTTTCCTTTTAAGTATTCAAGATCAGGGCCTTCAAGGAGGAGTGGAGGAGACTTACTAAAGGTTTTAAAACAACCCTGTGCTCCCGTTTCCAGTTTTGAACACTGCAATTTAAGAAGGATTTTGACAACCTGGAACTTGGGCAGAGGAGGGCACCAAGATGATCATGGAAACCAAGCCTTATAAGGAGCGATTGAAGGACTTGTGTGTGTCTAACTTGGGGAAAAGGAGACTGAGAGGAGATATGATAGCCATCTTCAAATATCTGAAGGGCTGTCACATGGATGGAGCAAGCTTGTTTTCTGCTGCTCACTCAGGAGGGTAGGAAATGAACCAATGGCTTCAAGTTACAAGAAAGGAGATTCCAACTAAACTTCAGGAAGAACTTTCTGGCAGTAAGAGCTGTTGCGCAGTGGAACAGACTCCCTTGAGAGGTTGTAGACTCTCCTTCATTGCAGGCTTTTAAGCAGAGGTTGGATGGCCATCTGCCATGGATGGTTAGTTGTGAGTCTTGCATTACAGAGGGTTGAACTAGATGACCCTTTGGATTCCTTCCAAATCTGTGACTCTATGAAACAGGAACACAAGGGCTGTCTTAAGGCCTTTGCAAAAGCCTTTTTGAAGTAGCTCGCATGAGACAGCTGCTTCAAAGGGTGCTTTTGCGCAAGTCCTTAATCCACACTAAACTGATGAGCAGGGGTTGATTTCTGCTACCTTGACTGCACAATCTTGTTCCTTGCTGGGAACAGGAAAGTGCTGTCAATGTAGTAGTTAACCCTATCCTGTGCATCAGCTCATGCCTCTAGTGATGTCAGTTGATGGACAGGTCAGTGTGGTTTGAGATAAATGGCTTCATGGG